GTTGTTCCTGCAAACAATGTGCAGTTTAGTATAGTGAATGAATCCATGTATAAATAGGCTAGACCAGTGTTTCCCAACCCTGTTCCTGGCGGCACACCAACACTGCGCGTATTCTTTGTCTCCCTTATCAAACACACCTGATTCAACTCATCAGCTCATAATCAGATGGGTTAATGAGCTGATGAGTTGAATCAGGTGTGTTTGATTAGGGAGACAAAGAATACGCGCAGTGTTGGTGTGCCGCCAGGAACAGGGTTGGGAAACACTGGGCTAGACAGTGTGCAAAAAAAAAAAAAAAAAAAATTATAATAAGCAAAAACAATAGCACAAATGTTCTTTTAAATACTGATTTCTTAATATAAAGCAATGAAAAACCTTGTCCTTTTCCACAGACAAGGATTAAGGTTTTCCCAGACTAAAATGCATATTTGAGCTGTCTTAACTAATGCGGGTTTTAGTTTCAACTTTGCTCACCAGTAATGTTATAAGGCACTTTTTTAAAAGCTTCCTAGATGTCCTAATTTAATTAAGGCCTACTCCTGGCTTAATCTAAGCCCTGTCTAATACCAGGCTGAAATCTGTATGCAATTTAGGCTATATTTGAGAAAATGTGTCTTTTAAGGTCCCAGAGACTTAGAGAAAGAGATGATATGTGTCCAGCCCTATCGGGGAGACAGACCTTTAACACAAAAGCCAGTTCTAACTGAGTTTAAACAGAGCTCAAAGGATTTGTATCTGCTTACACACATTCCTCTTAAAATCCACCTAAACAAAAATCACTTACATTTCTGATCTGTATTAACTCAAAGCAACTTGCACTGACATATTTTGAAGTCAGTTTTTCTCTCAATAAATGTCTTAATTTAACTAAAACTTACTCATGGCTAAACTAGGCCATATTGTATACTTTATATTGATTGTTTAAACCAATGAGACAATCGGTAACACTTAACTTAAAGCTTTTACTGTATTGCATTATAAAGGTATTCGTAATGTAAGTTGTAATGCATTACTGTATATCTTTTCAGAAATAATTGTAACCAAAGTTCAAATGAATTATAATATTAGCTGATTCCTTGTTACATCTGAAACTGGTTGTTGGTTGTGCGTTTTAAAGGTGTAACATAATTATTATAATGTATTATATTATAACTGTGGTTACAATTATTCATAAGAACAATGCATACGGGGCATTACAAAGCATATTAATGCATTATATAAAGGCTTTAAATAAATATTTAAATATTATGTTATTAATACTGTTTCCAATAATATTTAAACTATTATTTTAATGTTATATATTGTATTTTATGTAATGCAACAAGCAGATTTTTATATCTTTTGGTTGTCGATGATTATGTGAATGGGGAAACAGAAGTAAGATAGCGGGAAAACATTGCTCAGCAAATGGCATGTGTGAGCAGAAGACTATTCAGGGGTCTTCGGACCATTCTAAGACCCTTTTTGTGGCCCCGGGGGACGGCAGAGGCCCTGGCAGCTAAGGCCATTAGCAATTAGCATGGATATCTTATGAGGAAAAGGGTCAGAAATGTCCCTCAGAGTAGGCAAAGGAGAAAGAGAGGGAGAGGGACTCGAGTGCTTTTTCTTGTTTCTCCTCCTGTGTGGCCGAGAGGGAGTAAGGCGATCCCAAACACACACGCATACAGTACACACACACTGACACGCGCGCACACTCCCCAGGTCCCTTCACATATGCTCTTTGGCATGAAGAACTGCCATGGGAGCCCCTGTTTCATTAGTGTAATTAACTGTGAGAGAAAGCCAAGAAAAAAGGAGAAGGCAAGACTTTGAGGTATATGACTTTACATGGATTCTTTTATTATTATAAAAAAAAAAAAAAAAATAAAAAAAAACGAACAAAGCAGTGTTAGACTTGATCTGGCACCAGCAAATAATGGACACAAACAGTTATAAATATTTAAAATAGAAGTTTTAAAGACTAAATGTAAAATTACATTTAGTAATTTTACTTTTACACTTTTATGCTGACCAAGGCTTTTGATTTAAAAAATTCAGTTAAAAACAGAAGTATTGTGAAATCTTCAAGTATTTCAATCTTCAGTTTCACATGATCCTTTACAAATTATTCTAATATGTTGATTTGGTGCTCAGGGAAAAGTTTTATTATTATCAATGTTATAAACAGCTGTGCTGCTTCATATTTTTCTAAAATTTCAGTGTGTCCTTTCTAAATATTTAAGAAATATTTGCATGTATATACTGTGTAAATATATATATTTTAGGGCTCTCAAATGATTAATTATATATAAAATTATACACAGTGCACCCACATATATTATGTGAAAACAAACTTTTATTTTGGATGCGATTAATCGAGATTAATCGTTTGACAGCCCTAATATTTTTATATATAATTTGTATTATATATACATATAAAAATATTCTTAAATATATACATGCATGTGTGTGTTTTTATATTATACAAAATAACATATATTATGTAAACACAAACTTTTATTTCGGATTAAACACGATTAATCGTTGCCCAGCACGATAAATTTCTTTAACAAACTTTTGAATAGCAATATTTATTGAATTACCCCAAAATAATAAAATGAGCAACTAGCAATATCCAAGAACCTTACCAAACATCTAGATCTTACACATCTTACACACCTTAGCAACCGCATAAGCACCCCGGCAACCAATCATGATAAAAACAAGCACTTTCTTCAAAAAAATGCCAAAATCTGGTTATAACTTGTGGAAAAATTCCCATTTTCTCTTCCCTCATTTTTTTTTCTTGTAATTTTCCTTCTGTTTTATTGTTCCCTCTTTTCTTCAGCAGCCCATGGTGAAAATTACATTGTATTGCATCCTCTCAGGCCTGTCCTCCCTCTCTCTCCCTCTCTGCCTCTCACAGCTCTCGTTCAGTCAACAGACTGTAAAGAATAAATAATAAAAAAGTATTGATTATTTTGATGACTTCACAATTCAATTAGGTATTAATTTTGCCCTCCACTGGACCTATCAGGCAGCTCAAAGGGGAAAGAAGGGACGGGAGGAGGGATGGATAGATGTTGTGACTTAAATGAGTGCAGCATTAGAGGCAGCGTTTCGAGATAGAGGGGCACGTCGATGCATTGGTGAGTCGCTTGTGCATAAGTGCACTGAAGAAAAACTCCAGTGAAGCGATGACAAGAGACATCGTTGCAAAGCATATGAGTATTGACCAAGCGGGCCGCACCGCAAATGACAGCTTAAACTATTCCTATTGATTAACATTTTCATAGATTATCATGTGTCATATCAAACTCTCATGCACTCCATCTGATAAGCACATTAACAGAAGCCCCACGGGCTGCCATTCATCGACCCTCCTGAGGTGGGGCAGAATTAAGGGGGGCAGAAGTCCCGTGATGACGCTTGATTTCCTCCGTTCCCCGCAAGGCTCGATCCAAACTGGTCATCTGGCCCCCGTCTCTGACTCATTTGGACACGACTCTATAAATGAGGGAGCCTGAAAAGAGAAAAGCAGCTTTTTTTGTCCTCCCCATGTCTGCACGTTTGTTTGTGCGTCTCACCATCTGAAGGTGTGGGGGGAGGTACTTCTGAAGCGCACGAGAGAGAGAGAGAGAGAGAGAGAGAGAGAGAGAGAGAGAGAGAGTGTGGAGGTGACATCTCGAGCAAGTCTCCAGAGGCAATCCCATGCTTGCACCAGCAGTGCTCACTTGATGTATTTGCGTTATTCACACTGGTTTTTGGGCTTTGTGACAAGCATGCACTGACTGATCTCGCATCACATCCTAGCATGCTCTAACTGCTCTTGGATTTTAGCAAAGTAAGATTATTGGAGCATCAAAAATTCTAATATTTTTCTCTTTCATCTGGAAGCACCTTTCTGGTAAGTTCAATGTTGTCGTAGAACTTTTTCTCGCTTCTTTTTATCGATTTAAACTTGACCTATTCTATTCATTTCTTTGCCTCTTTACTTAAATTGTCTTTAATTTTGGTAACACTTTAGTTTAAGGTCCAATTCGCACTATTAATTACACTGAAAAAAAAAATATTGTTGGTTTAACTAAAAAAAAAAAAAAGTAACCTGGTTGCCTTAAAATTTTAAGTTGATTGAACTGGAAAAAGTGAGTTTATACAACGAAGGAGATTGATTTAAGCATCCGAAACTCAAAATAATAAGTTATCTGAATTAAATAAAGGATTTAAGTTGATTTGACAAAAGAAAAAATGTTGTGATAACAAATCTTGAAAATATTTTTTTTTACAGTTAGCATTAATATTGCTAGCATATTGGCTGTTTCACTGAAAAAAAGAATATTTTCAAGATTTGTTATCACAACATTTTTTCTTTTTGTCAAATCAACTTAAATAACTTATTTAGTTCAGATAACATATAATTTTGAGTTTCTGATGATTAAATCAATCTCCTTCATTGTATTAACTCACTTTTTCCAGTTCAATCAACTTAAAATTTTAAGGCAACCAGGTTACTTAATTTTTTAAGTTAAACCAACAATATGTTTTTAAGGACATAGTGCATTATTTTGCATGGTTATATTCTACATCCATTAATCTAAACTTAACAACTACCTTACTCAATATTAATAAGCATCAGTTAGGAGTTTATTAAGGCAAAAGTAACTGGTTATAGTTAATAGTGAGAATGGACTCTAAACTAAAGTGTGAACTTATTTTTTTATTTGGATATCTTTATTGTGTGTATTTAACGATAAGTTATTCAAAAGAACTCACAAAATAAAACATCACAAAATTGCTTTATCATTCAACAAACTGATTGGGTGAGAACAATCTGTGAATACTAAGAGATTATGTAAATCAAAGTTGACAAAAGTGGGTCTAAATTAAGTGTTTCTGATTCTTTCTCAAATATACATGTTATTGGCAACCACACATAGGTTAAGAAAATCAACATTTGAAATCTTATATTGTTAAGTGCAAAAAGTTTTGTCAATTAAAACAAAACACTTTTTTGCTTAACAAATGTGCCACGTTTATATGTAACTTAAGTGTTCTATTTTAATGCTGATGGCTCTTGGGCGATACTCGTGAAAATGAGTCATTTGACAAGTGGAGCATTTTTAACCAAAATCTTTTCAAATTTCTGCCATACACAAGAGCTCTTCAGCGCTACAGCCAGTAGCAACAGCCAGAGTACCCTCAAAAAAAAAAGAGAGAGAGAGAGAGAGAGAGCAAGCGCTACCACTGAGAGTGTTAGAAGAGGTGGCGAGTTTCAGAAAGCAAAGAGAGAGAGACAGAAAGCGAGGAAATGAACGGACATGTGTGTGCGTGAGACCCAGTGAGAGTGAACCAGTGCGTACCAAAGCTAACATCACTTTGCCTTTTTCCCCCCCTCATTGTCCTCCCGACCTGATCCTTCCTCCAGGATCCGATGATCACAGGGCAGCTGAGCAAACCGCTGCTCCCCCTGCGTGCCGATATGGACGCCTGCGAGCTGCGGGATGACGACACAGCGGCCAGCCCGGACAGCGATCTCAACGATGAGCCCTTGCTCCTGTCAGCTGACACAGACTCGGAAGAGAAGATGTATGGTGAGTCCCAGCGTTCGTCGTCCTTGTTATTGTGACTGACACCCCGGGGTCACGTGCGGGGGGGAACTCAACACCGACGAGTGTGTTTGTTTGTTTGTGTCTGCGAGATGTTGTGGTAGAAAGTGCTGGAACAGAGCAGGTGAAAGTTGTGGTTCAGGTCTATTGTGTCTGAAATGACCTCGAATTATGTCTCATAATTCCTTAGATTTGAGTTTGAGTGTAAACGTTTATAAAGTCCAAATGAAGTTGTTCTTCAAGTTTTCTGAGTTGTTGATATTTCATAACGCGTTTTACCGGCCGGTCTGTCAAATTTCCAGTGTCCTTTTCCTGTGACGCTGGTGGGGTGCAGCCATGCGGTATGTGGGGACCAGTTTTTTTGTTGGTGTTCATAAAGCAGAAAAATGTGACAGAATCTGGGGCAAATAGGCAACAGGAGACGTATAATGTACACGCACACACACTCATCTGTCACACAGGGTGACATTTCTTCACATTTGAGATCTCCTCGGCTTAGGCTGAAGATAAAATGAGAGAAAGTGAAGAGGCCTGAGGGAGAGAAATGTGATTGTTGTGGCTCCACGGCCTCATGAGGAGTTCACGTCTAAGCAGACTGAATGGTATATTCTTGATGAGGAGCAACGTATACCCTGAATCTCTTTAAAAGACGCCGCTTACATTCAAACGTGACATAATTATTATAACAACAACAATAAATTGATGCAGTGAATATTATAATGTATTACTACATAATTATTACTAATATTATATGTAAACTTCACCGTAAAAAAATCATGATTTGTTATCATAACGCTTTTTCTTCTGTCAAATCAACCTTAGATCATTGATGTGGTTCAGATAACATAATATTTTGTGTTTATGATGGTTAAATCAATCTCCTTCATTGCACTAACTCAATTTTTCAATTTCAATGAACTTAAAGTTTTAAGGCAACCAGGTTACTTCATTTTCTTACAGTTAAACCAACAATATTTTTTACAAGGTTGTATGGAAATATCTGTTTCAGTGCAGTACTATTTCAGAAGTTTAAAATTGTTAATATGCTAAATGAGGTTTAATTTAAAAACACAAATTAAACGGGTTTTTAATTATGCTTTCTGAGTATTGAGCATACACTTTATCGAATTTTGGCATATTTGATGTGCGCTGACAAAATATATTTTAAAATTATAACATGTTGGATATAATTAACATCCTAAAATAATATGCTCTTCTGTATTATGTTAAAATTTGATGTACCTTGCGGTCAGGATATTTGCTGAGACCTTGTTTTACAGCAAAAAAAAAAGAAAAAAAAAAAGCCTTTCGAATCCTTCCAGTGATGTAGTGTCGTGTGAAAGACAGGTTTTCAGCTCTTTGGATTGAGCGTGCATTGATGGACTGTTTGCTGTGATTGTCAATTTTGAAACGTTAATGATACTTTTTAGGACTCGTGTAACCTTGCTGCTGGCTTCTTTCAGACAGATTTACATTTTTCAATTTGAATAGAAGTCAAAAACACTTAAACCATTCAGAATCAACCTACAATTTTCTCAGTTCAAAATCATGCTATTTAGTTTATAGACTCCAAACATCACCTTTACATTTTTTTTTAAAGACATTCACCCTTAGATTTCATTTCCTAAAGTAGCATATGCACTACTACACAGGAATTGTATAACTTTCATGTGTTCTATAATGGCTTCTACCTTAAAGAAATCAAGACATTTTATGTTGTGCTTATTAATTTGTGTGCATTCATTACAAACAATTTATTCTTACTGATGAATGCACTTTTACTGACAAAAGAACACAAGTGCGGACACGCACTCCACCTCATGCATTGCATTAGAAAATTACATGAATAAAAGTGAGTCTCAAAGATGCATTAAAATAGGTATTTCAAATAAATGTTAAAGGGCACGTGCTTAAAAACGAGCAAAAAAAAAAAAAAACTTCTTTATTAATCATGCAGCCAGTAAAATGACCTCCTCAGAACACTTACAGGCTATAGAAGTGTTTTGCACTCGGCCTTGAACTTGTTCTGCTGTTACTTGCATTCATCTCTGTAATTCCTGGTCATTTATCACAGTGACATTTCTAAAGCTTTATATTTTATTTTAGTTGATACAATGTAAAGCCAGACAGGGTGGATTCTGTGCTCTAGGTTTGATATTCAATAGCGGTGACTGCATCTCCCTCTTGTCTGTGTTCACAGTTAGACTGAATGATGCCCGTAGGGAGCTTTTCTATTGCTCTCTATGTTAGAACTAACAGTATTACATTAATGACAATAGATTTGAACCCCCTGCCACTTACCCGATTAGAACAAACTTTGAATGCTATCAGAGGACTTTTTATACCTAAATTAAAATCCAAACTATTGATTTTTCACCATATCTTCTAGGTAGGTTATTTCAGAAATATATAATTTGCCATTTTGTTAAAAAAAAATAAATAAATAAATAAAATTGCGTTTTATTAGAATGTTGCAATTAATGTAGAAAAATGATGTCAGGTTTAAATGTGTATTTTTCTTTCTGAGGTCGCAATGATGAATTATGAAGCTGAATTCACGTTGTTGTTTTTTTTTTATTCTATAATAACCTTGCTTTTGATGAACTGGCTCAGGTACTCGGCCCTCATTACAGTCCGGTTTGAGCTATCACTGAAGCTGTGTTACATTAGACATTAAAAGAACAGAATAAAGAGTATTGCTTGGTGTTTTGAGATGAATTATACATCAAACATCGGCTACCCCCTTATGTGCACCAAACGCACATAACAAGAGTGTATGTGTGTGTTTGCGTGGGGCGCATAGTTTAGAACGCGGTAGACAGGGTTTTTTGGAGAGGATGGATATGAGAGCGGGCGAAGTGTAGGCTGTCACCACGGTGATGGCGTGTCACCATGGCGGGTCTTTTTGCTGATTTGATTTGGGGGGTGTGGGGGGGGGTCTGGGTTTGGGCAGGGGGGGCGTTTGTGTCTGATCCCCGTCCGAACCTCTCTGTCAGGCCCTGATCAGTCTTGTGGTTCCCGCTGTCAGTCTGATGAATTTTTTAGAATATCCCAAGGCAAGAAAAGCCCAGTTACTGTTTCATAATGTCAGTGTTACAATTTTCTTTAATAAGCATCAAACCTGCTTTTGTTTGCTTGTTGCTTTTTCTCTTTACGCTCAGCTTTACAGCTCATTGTCTATGTGTCAATCTAACCCTTTTTGTAAAAATCTCACTTTTTTTTTTGCACGCTTACACAAACATTTTTATGTAGGCGCATTCTTTTTCAGACCTTTTTTTACTGAATGAATACATTTATATCTTATTTTTTTTTTAGCATCTGGTCAGCCGGTTTAACATTATTTAAAAAAAATATGACCTTCTTTTTAAGGCCACCAAATGGAGCATCCCTTGTTCTTTTCCTGCCCCGTGAGAGGTACACTAGGCAGGGGGCCGTGGGCAGTGCCAGGGGGCTGCTCGGGGCAAACGGGCACGGCTGAATCTGTCCTTGGGCACAGTTGTCCATCAGTGAAATGTCTGAAAGGTCATTGTAGTTTGGTTACAGAGAGGTTTGAGAAGGAAAGATTGGAAATAACAGGAAAAAGAAGTGCAGTTGACGTGTTTTTTTTTTTTTTTTTTTTAACTTTGGCGTGCTGCTTTGGTACTTTTTTTGTTTCATTTGTTTAATAAATTGCCTTTTTTTAATTTGTTATTAAATATGTAAAATAACTTTTTGCCAACGAATTGAATTAATATAAATTACATATATATATATATATATATATATATATATATATATATATATATATAGGGCTGGGCAATGATTAATCGCGATTAATCGCATCCAAAATAAAAGTTTGTGTTTACGTAATATATGTGTGTGTGGTGTGTATAAATACACACACATGCATGTATACATTTAAGAAAAATGTGTTCTTAATATATCAAATATTTATATTTATACATAATATGAATTATGTATAAATATATATAAAGTATATACGTGCAAATATTTCTTAAATATATACATGCATGTGTGTGTATTTATATATACAAAATAATTATACACACCACACACACATGTATTACGTAAACACAAACTTTTATTTTGGATGTGATTAATCGCAAATAATTATTTGATTGATATATATATATATATATATATATATATATATATATATATATATATATATATATATATAAGGGGTGAAATGGTACATGTATTCGTCCCAAACTGTACGGTACGGACGTCTCCAATCCCCCAACAGTCTCCAATCCAGAAGGGGGCGTGCATGGTAATCCAATGCTGTTTGCCAAAATAAAAGTTTGTGTTTACGTAATAAATGTGTGTGTACTGTGTATAATTATTTAGTAAATACACACACACATGTATATATTTGAGAAATATCTGCATGTATACTGTATATTTATATATATAATTTATATGATATATAAATATTAATATGTTATATGTAAATGATACATTTTTCTTAAATATATAAATGCATGTGTGTGTGTTTATATATACAAAATAATTATACACAGCACACACATTTATTATGTAAACAAACTTTTATTTTGTATGCGATTAATCGTTGCCCAGCTCTAATATTTTTACATCTCTCAACCAGTGTTTCAACTGAGAAAAGATATCAATAAAACAGCTTGAGAATATCATCTCACATAGCGTTACATATACTTCAGGCATTTTGTGTTGACCATGTTAGTTCGCTTCGGAAATGAACTGGAGAAGCATTTTGTATATGCACTATATTAGCCTAATTCATTATATTTACTTAACCTGTTGGTTATATCTTGATTCTTTAATGCACGTTTAAATACATTTGTCATGAAAACAAGTTGACAGCCACTGTGTAAATGATTCAATTTCAAAAAGTAATTGGAGTAGAAAATTAACTTTATAATTAGATTTAGAAGTTAATGCAACACTTGCCTTATGTGCAATTTACATGTTTTTTTTTTAATTTGAGTGTTGATTATTATATC